AAAGAAGGCAATGAAGGCAAAATCATAGATCCTAGGAGCTTAACCATCTCATTGATTTCATCCTTTCAGTCACTCTCTGTTTTAGCTTTCCAATTCTCTGTTTTCTACTACATTCTCATTTTGAAGTTAGAACAATTTATAAAAATGATTTCCAATCCACATTCTCTCTTATATACCTAATTCCTATCTTAATTTGTGATTTAATCACTAAACTTCACCAAGAGACATAAAAGCTCTTTGAGACCAACCTCAAGTTGATTCACTTTCTATATTATATTAAATTTGATTCTTAAACGGCATAATATCATAAATCTTTCACTTACATAATCAGCTTACATGAGTGTGGGTGGTTGTATACGATCCCGGAACCAAGTCATTGATCGAACATTAGGCTTAGATCCTCCTCTTTTATCAGTAACATCTAAGTAAGAGTTGAAATCTCCAACCACTGCAACACCATTACTAATTTCAATCAGCTTTTCCCAAAGGAACCTTCAAAGATTAATGCATGGCTCAGTTTGAACACACGACAACCAAAAATTTTGAGAACTCCAAGATAGAGACCTTAGCATGCACAACTTGAGGGTTTGAGGTCACATAATGAAAGGAGATATTTTCTCTATTCCAAAGCAAACGTATTCCTCCCGCATAACCAGTCGTTGCAAAGACGTAACCACATATTGAAACCCAATCTGCACATGGTTCAATTAGCTTTCTCACCACTCACTCATGTTTCTAGCAGAATGAGGAGGTTAACTTCTCCTCCATAAGTCACATCTTTAATTCTTCCAGGAAAAGACTTAGATGTAGCACCCTGACAATTCCAACAAATGATATTCATAATTAGTAATTCAAGAAAAAGGGGATCCACTAAACGTAGTTCAAAGCTCCTGCAACTCGACGAGCCCATTGACTGCATGCATCTTCTCATCAATGTCCTTATCTTCTTCTCAGATTTCATCAAGTGGTTCAAACCACATGTCATTAACCCCAGCAGATTCACTTTCTTGGCACCCACTGTCTTGAAGATGTGTCAGGTCAAGTGGTTTAGGTGATGGAATGATTTGTTCTGCGACCTTTAGAGTTTGACATTGCTTTCCTTCTACTTCATTAATCATTTGGGATAAAATAATCTGTCTATAGATTTGTTTTTTAGTCTCCATTCAATTATGTGAAGTTCGGCCTAAATTTTGTAGGCCCAAATTGGTCAAGGAGCCTAGGATCAGGTTGTGCCCACAACTCCTTTGTTTCCTTTTTGCACAGGGGACACAATTTTGGGCCTATTTGATAAGCTTCTTTTCTTTTTGCTACCTAGCTTCTTATTCTCACCTATTTTTGGGCTTGGATCCACTTCTCCTTGTCTAGGGTTTTGCTAATTGTTATCTTCTTCCAAGTCCGTCACTTCCTCTTCCCCCATTATTTCCAAGTTATTGTCACCATCTTTATCCTCTGTACTAGCCGCCACCTTTTTTTCTCCCTCATTCTCAACCTCTATCACGTTATTAACAAAATTTTCTATGAATGTTGATGTTTTTAATATTAGCTCTCTATAAAGATTGTATTCGCACAACAATTTTTTTTTCATTTATTAGGCTATCATTATAATTATTAGAGTTATTAGTAACATTATAAGAGTTGTTAATATTATTATATGACTTGTTGACCGCATTACTCAAGTTGTAAAAATACCACTTTTTGAATTTTCTCAAAAACCAGTTGTTAATTGTTATACTAAACTTGTTAATAGCATTAAGAAACTTGCTAACTATGTTCCTAAAGTTGTAAACATGTTAATTTTTGAATTTGCTGGAAAACATGTTGTTAAATATTATAACGAACTTGCTAATCGCATTAAAGAACTTGTTAATCATATTACTGAACTTGAAAAAAAATCTCAAAAAAATAGTTACTAGTATCTGGTGTTTCGATGACCGGCCCTCAAAGCTCAAGCAATCGGTGGCCCACCTAACCTTAGTGGTGGCCGTCGGCACCGAAGCTCTGGCGACTGGTCGGTTGGTAAAGGTGCTTGAAGATTTTTTTTAAAAAAAAATTAAAAGGCAATTTGGTCTCTTTAACAAATTTTAAAATCCTAATTACATGTGTGACCAAATAGAAATTTTCATTTTTCAAGTGACCAAATGAGAATTTTCAAATTTAAGTATTATTTTTGTGTCATTTTTCCTAATACAAATTACATTACAAAATAAATATTATATTTAGGCCTCATATCAGATTTTTTTTGCTGGTACGAGAAATTTCTGCCTACTTTAAACCAGAAACAAAACAAGAAAAGAAAAATCATACCCAAGAGCTTTCACGGCTGTCCGAAAATTTCTAATCTAAGCATTGTTGACTTGAAGTCAACAAAAGTTTTCATTATTTGGTGGAAATTTCGGCCTACCTTGAATGGGAAAAAAAGGGCCAAAATATCATACCCAAGAACTTTCACGGCTGTCTGAAAATTTCTAAGATAAGCATTGTTGACTTGAAGTCAACAAAAGTTTTTATTATTTGGTGGAAATTTGGGCCTACTTTGAATGGGAAATAAGGGGCGAAAAAATCATACCGGAAGAACATTAATGGCTTCCCAAAAAATTCTATTCTAATTCTTTAAACAACAATGCCCAAAAAAAAAAAAATTGTTGGCTCCGAGTCAAAAAGTGCTACTGACAAAAGTTTTCATCATTTCGCGGAAATTTCGGCCTAGAATGATGAGTCCACCGACCCCTATACCCAAGGCAACACTTTAAATCCCAAGGCAATTACTTCCCTTTGCAACAAGTAAGGCTTTATCCTTACTTAGAATGTTATGCTTCTGAGCAATAAACAAAAAGTATATAATGATAGAATAAATAACGGTTTTTTCTCTTAATAGAGTAAATGTTAATCACTGAAATTTAATAAATTTTTCAGTTTGACAAAGAATGTTCTTTCTGTAGCTTATGCACTTGTTTCCATATGATTCCCTACTTCTTCATTTAATTAATGTATTCTTTTATTTGTAGTATGTCCCTGAATATTTGTTAGACACAAAATGTGGTTTTTATTGAAGCAAGTGTCTGGGATAGGTGAGGGCATTAAATATAACTTTTCGTTAAAGCTTGCTTCTGATGTAGTCGACTCAATTATAACCCTTTCTGACAAAACACTTTTCTTTTTAATTTTCCCATTAGATCTTTCTGTTAGAACTTTGATATTCTATAGAATGTTTTAATATATTGTGAAAATATTTTCTCCTTAACAAGACATTTTGTATAAAGTAATTTTTTAGAACATTTTTAAATTCGATAAAGTAATTTTTTAACATAGAACTTAGATAGGAAGATAATCAGAATCTGAATCTCTTAGGATAAACTAATAGAGATATAATGTGTTTAGTTTGATTTGGGTAGGATCAAAGTCACTTTTGACTTGATCTTTATTTTAAATGCATTCGAGTCGAATATTCAAATACATAATGTCAACTAATGAAAATACACCTCGGATAGATGTAGAGTTGAAAACGACTCTTAACATGTTTTCAATATATTCAAGTCCGTTGCTAAAGCCAATGAAAAAGAATAGCATGCGAGTAAAGAATGAGACTTTTCTAACTTTGTTCATATCTTGAATTTATGAGAATCAAATACTCAATACTTAGAAAATCGTTTAAAACTTATTAACTAATTAAACAACTTTTTAAGACATAATTAAGAATAATAAATTTTATATAAAACTTATTCAATAAATATCTTAATTAATTAAATTTCTTACAAAATAAATTCTTCTGTAATTTTGTTATCATCAAAATATTGCGTTAACTATTCTAACAAAAGATAATAATGATCGATATACAACATCATTATTTTAGACCAATGGTACTAGGGTTTGAAGATTAAAATGATATTTTATAAAATTAAGAGAAATCTTGTACAAAGTTAGAGAATCAAATGCATATTTTTTTGCCAAATAAGAAATGTAAATGGCATGCACCCCTTTACTCACTAATTTTGTAAGATAAGACCTTTATCTTCAAACAAAATTAGAGCCTTAACTCGTATAAAAAATTAGAGCCTTAATTATTTAATCGTCATAATTAATTAAAATTGTGAAAATTTAATTACCTAACCATGAATAAGTTTTGGGACCACTTAAAATAAAATGAAAACAAGTATCTTTCTTTAAGTGGAAGGGGTTGGATCTAACAGAAAGAACTAGTTAGTCACTATAGAATAAATCAAGGTTTGAATTCTTGTTAAGAAAGGTGCTCATATTTAATACCTGATAATATTTTAAATAGAATTGCTTTTAATAATAGGAGGAATATTTTTTAATCGGAAAATCCCACTTCAAACAAGAAAGAATTGACTTCCATAGAAATCTCTATGTATTACTTCTTTATAATACAAATTACAGTACAAAATAAATATTATATTTAGGCTAGGTATTGGATTATTTTTGCTGGTACAAGAAATTTCTACCTATTTGAAACCAGAAACAAAATAAGAAAAGAAAAATCATACCCAAAAACTTTCATGGCTGTCCGAAAATTTCTAATCTAAGCGTTGTTGACTTGAAGTCAACAAAAGTTTTCATTATTCGGCGGAAATTTCGGCCTACTTTGAATGGGAAATAAAGGGCGAAAAAATCATGCCGAAAGAATTTTGTTTTTGGGACCAGCATACCGTAGGAGCTTTAATGGCATCCCGAAAAATTCTATTCTAAATTTCTAATTCTTTAAACAATAATGCCCCCCAAAAAAAAAAAAGAAGAGTTATTGGCACTGAGTCAAAAAGTGCTACCGAGTACCGACTAAAGTTTTTATCATTTCGCAGAAATTTCGGCATACTAGATGAAAATTCTATTCTAATTCTTCAAACAATAATGCCCAAAAAAAAAATTGTTGGCTCATAGTCAAAAAGTGCTTCTGACAAAAGTTTTCATTATTTCGTGGCAATTTCGGCCTCGTATGATGGGTAAGAAATTTCCACCGACGGCTTCCTCCTGTTGCTCCCTCATTTATTCTTGTAAAGAAGAGAAGGGAAAAATCATTAAAATGAAAAGGATTGTGACTTCCATTGCACTCCGGAGGGGCGCACGCCTAAGGTCTACCTAACAGGTGGACCCTACGTCATACTTTGTGGTAGTGGGGGCCTGCGTTCGCGCGGCCCCTACCCAATGAGTACGTCTGCAAAAAAAAAAAAAAAACGCTTGTGGAAGAAATCCAATGTGCGGTGGAGAGAATGCTTGGGGGCCATATGATAATATATGTATTCATATTAAAATGAATAATTAAATGAGAGGGAAAATAAAAAACAGCCTACTTTAAAAACACAATTTATAACTAATATTTATTTTTTATAAAAAAAAAGGGAATGAGTAACTTTGGAAGGAGTAACTCTTAAATGCGAAACAAGATTAAAAGTGATTTTGCTATATTCAAAATAAGTCTGTGAGACAATCTCAATTTATATAAAAGTTTTTTTTTTTGAAAGAAAAGTGTTTCTATGAATGGCTGAATACTCACGTACTCATTTTTCTGTTGCGCGGATCGAATTCCCAAGAGAAGCGAACTCACCCACTCAACTTCAAATCTTCAACCTCGGATTTTTATTACCCTTGGTTGGAGCTTTGTCGTTTTATTAATTAACTGTATTAATTAACTGTAGTCGTATCAGACAACAGTTTTTTTAAAGTAAAATCAAATATCCAAATTTATTAAATAAAAATAAAAAATTTAAACTCTTTAAATTCTAAATACATTTGAAAAAAATACTTTGGAGTGTTAGATGACTCACAAATTAATTTAGAATACTGAATACTACTTAGATAAAAAATACTTCAAGATATTAGAAGTTACTTAGAAAATACTTTAGAAAATATTAATTTAATATATTGAAAGCTATTTATAAAATACCTCAAGATGCATCTTGACTCTTGACTTTTGTAAGAACGACGGCCAAATGAAATTGTGTAATTGGGATTTTTTTTTTGGCTGAAATAGTAGTGTTGTGGAAAGCTAGTGATATACATGCTATAATTTTTTATAGTACATATGTGTGGGCTGTTTGTTTAATTGTTTCAACGTTTCAGTCTGCCCATGATGCGACACCGTTTCCACCTAATGCCGACACCGTTTGTGTGCGTTATTTGTTTCAGCGTTTCACTTTGCCCGACAGGAAGTATGCGGGCCATTTTAGAAAGTAGAAAATGAATGGGCAAGGAAGCATGCGATTGTGCAGCCATTTTTGTCCGACATGTGATTGACGACACGGCAAAGGCGTTATTATTGATCTAATTCCTTAAACAAGAACCACCCCATGAAAAAAAAAAAAAAATTTGTTTTTTGTTGACTCGAAGTCAAAAAGAGCCACTGACAAAAGTCTTCATCATTTGATGAAAATTTCGGCCTACTTTAAACAAGGAATTTCCACCGACAGCTTCGTTGGTTGTTGCCTATTTAACGCAAACTAAACAACGGATTAGTACTCACATACTCATTTTTCTGTTGTGCCCATCGAATTCCCAAGACAAGCGAACTCACCAAATCAACCACTTATCTGATTTAGCCACTCCCACCAAGGTATTGATATGGTCTTTCTCCCTTATTCTCTAACAACTTGAACGCTATTCTTTTGTTCTTTTAAGAAACAATCAACAGCTTATAAAACATTATATTGTTTCTTTTCTTTTCTTTTTTTGTCTCCAAGCAATGGCTGCTTTTATTTCTGCTTCTTCTTCCCAAGTTCCCTCTAGAAAAGAGTATGAAGTCTTCATCAGCTTTAGAGGATCAGACGTCAGATTTGGTTTCCTCAACCATTTGAAAAACGAGTTGTGTCGGAAGATCATAAATGTCTATGTGGACGAGAGGCTTCAAAGAGGAGAAGAGATATCATCAGCACTTGTAGAAGCAATAGAAGGATCTATGATTGCATTGGTGATATTCTCAAAAGATTATGCTTCTTCAAAATGGTGCTTAGAAGAGCTTGTCAAAATCATGGAATGTAAGGAAACCAAGCAACAGATTGTGATACCAGTTTTTTACGATATAGATCCATCAGATGTCAGGCACCAGAAAGGCAGATATGAGGAGGCATTCACTCATCATGAACACAAGTTCAATGATAACATGGAAAAGTTGCCAATTTGGAGATCAGTCTTGAAAAAAGCTGCAGACTTATGTGGTTTCCAGGCATTCACTCATCATGAACAGAAGTTCAATGATAACATGGAAAAGTTGCAAATTTGGAGATCAGTCTTAGAAAAAACTGCGAACTTAGCAGGTTACCATTCATTAAATTTTCGGTAAGTTTGTTTTATGATTCTTAATTTCTTCATCTTTTTTCTCAATTTGCCCAAAACGATTTAAATATAGTAAAATTGTATAAAAATTATGTCTAGCATCTATAATGAGTAACTTACACAGTTTTTTTTTTTTTTTTTCTAATGCTAGAAATGAACCTGAACTCATCGATGCGATAGTTGGACGTGTCTTAAAAATATTGGAAGAAAACAGTCCTCCAAGATCTCAGCCTATTGAATTTCATCAAAATTTCATTAGGGTTGAATCATTAATGGAAGTTGAGTCACAAGAAGAAGTTCGAGTCCTTGGAATTTGGGGTCCAGGAGGGATAGGCAAAACAACCCTTGCTTCTGCTATATTTGACAAGTTCTCGTCTAAATTTGAAAGTTACTGTTTCTTAAATGTGAGAGAAGAATATGATCAGATGTCTTTCGATAAAAAACTTCTTCCTGAGCTATTAGATGAAAAAGATTGCAAAAATATAAGTAACGCAAAGAGAAGGCTGGAACAAAAAAAAGTGTTAATTGTACTTGATGATGTGGACAATTCAATGCTATTAAGCAATTTGGTTTTGGGACGAGGCAGTAGAGTCATTGCAACAAGTAGAGACAAGCACGTTCTTATTAGTGGAGGGATTGATGAAAAATATATATATGAAGTTGAGGAGTTAAATTTTAAAGAATCACTTGAACTTTTTAGTAGACATGCCTTCGGAAAAATTCGTCCCAATATGGGATATGAAGAGCTATCGAGAAGGACGGTAGATATTGCTAAAGGCATTCCTTTAGCTTTAGAAATTTTGGGTTCCCATTTTCATTCTAAGAATAAAGATTATTGGGAAAGTGAACTTGAAAGACTCCAAAAGTGTCCCCTTCAAAGAATTCAAAATATATTGAAGGTGAGTTTTTATGGATTGCATCCTATGGATAGGGAAATATTTTTGGATATTGCATTCTTTTTCTTGGGAGTAGAAAAGGCTGAACTTACTTATGCTTTAGAGGCTTGTCATCTCGGAGCAATCAGTGGAATACAAAATCTGATAGATAAAGCTCTCATAAAGTTAGATGGGCATGACCGAATTGTAATGCATGATTTGATACGAGAAATGGCTGAGCAGATAGTTCGTGAGGAATGTATGAAACATCCTGAGAGACGTAGCCGACTAAATGATGAGAATGAAATATGTGATATATTGAAAAGTAACATGGTAAGAGAAAGGTACATCAATATTTATTCCTTTTATTTTTTATGTTTTGTAAGTTAAAAAAATTTAATTTCTCTTTTATTTTACTTTCGTTCAGGGAACTGATGAAATTGAAGGCATGATATTGTTCGTGAACAGAATAAAAAATTTACAATTGAGTGCTGACGCCTTCATGAAGATGAGAAATTTAAGAATTCTTAAAATTTTGGATTATTCAATGGGGCGGCCCAATACACGTATAGAGCTTCCTCATGGTCTTGACTATCTTCCTGACAAATTAAGGTATTTTTATTGGGATTATTGTCCATTAAAGTCTCTACCATTCGGCTCCTATCTTAAGAACCTTGTTGAACTTGACATGCGAAGAAGCAATGTTGAAAAGCTTTGGGATGGAAAACAGGTACCTCTATATATATACTAATGTATATTTTTAGACGTCTTCAATGTCATCAAATTTAGTAAGGCCTGTTTGGGTAATTTTTCCCTTTTCATTGTCAACACAGGACCTTGAGCATCTAAAGAAAATAGATTTGTCTTGGTCCCAACAATTGAGAGAGTTGGCTGATTTCTCTATGGCGCGTAAGCTTGAATTCGTATATCTTCGTGGATGCAAGAATTTGAGAACTATTCATCCATCTATTTTATCACTCAACACTATTGTTGAAGTGTGGGTAAATGATTGCCCGAAACTAGAGAGTATTGAAAGTGAGACTCATTTAGAATCTCTCACATTAGTCTGGGCTAGTGGTTGTGATAACCTCAAGAAATTCTCTCTGTCATCGAAGAAATTGAGAAAATTATATCTTAATAAGGGACATAAACTCGAAATATTTCACTTGCCAAATAGTCATTGCACAGAACTTAGAACGCTTGATGTTGATGGTGAAGGATTGAGGGGTCTTCCAATGGATGAGCTGCGTTGCTTGACAAATCTTGAGAGGTTTTGTGTTGATAATTTCAAGCAAGAAATTCACACAATGGAGCTGCACTCCCTTTTTGATGCTTGGCGTAATTTAACAGAACTATATTTGGAGAGGTGGAGTTTCTTGTTAGAAATCCCAGACAATATCAAACATCTTTCAAACTTGAAACGCTTTTTCGTGACCGAGTGTAAAAGGCTGAAGTCCATACTTGGACTTCCTCCCATGCTTCTAGTACTGGGTGCCACTGATTGCACTTCATTGGAGACTGTGTCCTCCGACTCTCTAGTTTTGACACGGTGTGACTTTTACTTCCATAACTGTGTGAAGTTGGATGAGCGTTCGCATGGCTTTATTGAGGAATTAACCCATTCGTCATTGACTTCACTGACTTTAGCCTCTAATGAGGATGGGCATTATTTTGCTTCAACTTGTTACCCAGGAAGCAGAGTTCCAAAGTGGATGGAATATAGACCCATGACGGAGGATTCTAATGCTATCGAATTTACTTGCAATCCAAAACGATCACACGACATATTATTTTGCTGCGTTGGTCCTAGTCAAGCCGTCTCAAAGGGATTCTTTTGTGGTGTTTACTGTGAATGCTATTGGGATGACAACAAGAAATATCGCTTTGGTTATTATGATCATTACTGTGTTTCTCATAGTCATGAACTGAATCAGGATCATGTTTTTCTATGGTACATTCATAGGGGCTTATTTGCTGCTAAGATTTCATGTGAATTCTTTGCGGAATTTTTGGATGAACATTTTTTCTCTGTCCCTGCAAAAGCATGTGGCGTCCACGTGATATATCACTAGGAGTCAGAGTCGGCGGGGTCTGAAATCCCTCCCACAGAGCAACTCAACCATTCTGCTGTCTTTCAACCTACTCTCGAGAGTTTTGGAAATAACTTTGATATTTTGACAGGTATCTACTCTCGCTTCTTTGCTTATTACAAACTAACCTTTAGCACACATGCTCCAACCTTTCTATCACGTGACATAATTTATGAATTTATGCTTACATATATATGATAATGTAACTATTTCAATTTTAGTTTATTGCACTGCTTACTTTTGTTGGCAGTCATTTGTTATATTCTTTCAGTGTTGAGAAGGTAGTGATTAATGTTTAAATACTTGATGACATCTTTAAATATTTGATGTGGCTAATTACCCTTTCAGTGTTGCAATGTATGAATGTGTGTGTGGATATGTGTGCGTGGGTGTGTGTGTGTGTATATATATATATTTATATATAATTTTATTAATATGCTCTGCTCTCCTCCCTATAAGTGTTGCTATTAATTAGAAAATTCCTTTTCAAAGAACTTGAGTGTTATCACCCATCTGGTCGTAAATATATATTGTTTGCATACAAAGATTGTGACGTGGCGTAGTTTGTGCTAATTCTTTTTGAGCTGTGACTTGTATTCACAAATTTTTACTTAATCTTGATAAAAAAAATTCAATGATTTTGAAATTTTGATCCAGGGGGTTGAGCATTTTTTTTCTGGTTATTTTTTGGTTCTTGGAATAAATTTTAATTTTGAAGGCGGTTGGTTATTTGCATTCAACCATTTATTTCATGACCCTGGATAAAAGGAATAGTCAGGTAAGGGGTTTGAATATTGAAATGAAACTGGAGAAATTAAAATAAGACAGCTGAAAAGGTAAAATCCTTATTCTTTGGTAAAATTGAATTCGTAAACAAGCTACTGTGTTGTCTTTCTTTTCCTTTTCTGAGATAGAAGCCGAGTGTTGCTACTGGGTAAGTTTATTGCTAATATCTCTGTTTCTTAATATAAATTTTTTTATTAATTTGGATAGATTAAAGAAATCATTTAAATTAACTTGTTACTTGTGAAAAATATGCATTAATTTTCCTAAAATACCCTCTTAAATCATCTGTCACAAAACTATTAGCCTCCTTTAATACTATAATTGTGCTTTAATGTTATTCTGCACCTTTGATTGGCATAAAGAATGAGCATGTTGAATGCAAATTAACCTGAGCTGGACTTGATCTCATGGTTTTATATTTGAATGAGGCTGAATGAAGTCAGAGATGAAATATGCAGGGCAATACAATATGGTTCCAAATTTTAACAAATCAACCATTTTGGCTCGCAATGTTTTTGGTCTATTCAAGTCTATATTATTCCATTTTCTTATCATGAAATAACTACTCTATACATTTATTCATTGTTTTTGTTTTACATTTTGGTTGGACAGGTTGTTCAGTTGTAGCACCTTGGTTGAGGTTTGTGCCCTCCTTCTTGCCTATACTTCTGTTGTGTATACGCCAACAAAGGCCTCCTTCCTCTCTGCCATTAACTTCTCTTTCTTTTCGCCTTACTTTGAGACAGTAACACTGTTTCCAGTCATTTAAAACTACATTTGATTAACCCCATTTGCCATGAACGCAGAATGAGCAATACCAAGCTTGGAAGATTCTAGCACTTTGTCAAAGAGACTGGTGGAACCTTTGGATTTGTCATCACTTCCCTAATATCTTGCTATCAGGTGCCTGCCATTATGACTACAAGTTCACTCACCTTATGCTTTTCTATTACTTGGACATCTTTATTTTATTGAAAATTTGCATATCTCATTTTGCAACTGCCTCTTTAACGGTACGACATGTGCACTAACAAAATAAGTCAACCTCTTCATAATTTTTCTTGTGTATTAACCATGGACAACGTTTAAAACGCAAATGAAGTGAACTATATGGAACCATTGAAGTCCCTGGAAAATGTGTGTTCCATCAATTTAGTATTTAGAAATCGATGAACATTTTACTCCAAACAGTTTTTAGGATCTTTCAATATATTTTCTTCCAGCAAGAATGGTACTGGTTATGATGTTTTATAGTTTCTTGCTTTAGGTGACTAAAAATAATAATTAATTTTAATTATAACAGGTTATCACCTTTTAAAAAGTTTTATGAGCAGGTTGATTCTTTCACGTGGAAGTAGCTGAAACATCATTTTCTAATGCATTAGTTATTTCATCACAGTGTGCTGGGACAACAAGTGGACCCCATTTCTTTCAATTGCGCGTGGGATTTCCCTCCCCTGATGATGATCGTCCTCAAAATAATCCCTCCATGAATGTGTTCCCTAAGCAATGTTTTTGGAAGCAAATGAATTAGCAGAGTCCCTGGAAGATGCGTGTTTTTCCATCATCAGCTTAGGCGTTTGTCTTCATAAATTAATGATCATCAATGTCTTGTCTCAATGGTTTATTTCGCCTTAAATTTTGGTCATATATGGCAAAATCATATTTATGGGATTTCTAAGGGCACCAAGGGTAATTCACTCACCAAATTGAAACTTGCTCCTGTGGTCCTATCATAGGACAGAGGGAGAAACATTTTCCCTCCCATTTATGACACGCGTGTTGTAAAATTTTTATCATAAATGTATTACTTGCCCTTCATTTTTGTCTAAATTTTTTTTTTTTGGAAAGTGTAGGTGTTAGACAGAGGTAAAGTTTAATGGTTACTTTTTAGTCTTATTTATAAAAATCTTTCAGTATATTTTGCGCAGATTAAGAAAAATATTAAACTGCATTGACTCTCTATTAAAATATAACAACTTTTCAACTTATCCGTATTTGATATATACATCTTTCAAAAAAAAAAAATACCTACACTATAATAAATGAACAACAAAATGATACATTCATGCTAAAAATTAAATGAAATAACTTATAAATAGAACACAAAAAAACTGCTCTTTCCACCTTACAAATAAAACTGGATGAATAAATTTTAAGGTAAAGTTGATAAGGTTTAAGATTTTTTTACAATTTTAGTGAAATATATTAAAGGTAACTTATAAATAACACAAGAAAATTATGAATCGGTAGAATCTTCAATTTCTAACTTCTGAGATTGTGTAGCGAATAAAGGTCTTGAACCAGTTAAGGGAGGACTGACATGTTTGGTTACATCTATAATACAACATTTGTTGACAATTTAGCATGGTACAGGAAAGTGGATGCCTTAAATCCATCTCTAATTGAGAGAGCTTTTTGATTCTTGACAAATATGCCACGTTGAATTTAGTTTGCTTCCATCTCATACTACTGATTAGAATTTTCTCACCCAAGTTGCTCGATAAAATAAGAAATGAGTTAAGATTCCAAAATACCTATAAAAATATATCAAAAACTCATCCAACACCATGAACTTTGTTTGGTCTCAAATCTACTAATCCAATTTTAAAAAAAACCCCAATAATGACGGTGCCATTAAAATGAACAAATGTATGTTACTTTTACAGTGGGACTTACGATATTTTTAATGAAAATACTAAAATACTCTCAATTAGAACAAAAAAAGTTAAGGTTAAAAATTTTCATAAACTTATACCAAAACTTTACTAAGCACCATAACGTACCAAATGGTAAGCATATTTAAACAAAATAAATAATAGATTTTCCAACCTCCTCTATCTTCAAACTCTACCAATCACAACTCCTTTGCCTTTAGAAGTACTTACTTTTGATGTATGACATGGAAGAAAGGAGTAACTCTAAAGAATTCCAATAGTAACAAAATTCCTTCATGTAGTCATATAAAATCACAAACATGCTACCAAGGCTAGAGAGAACACCACCTTGCAATCAAATATAATTAATTATGCACAAACATCAGACACTTACATAGCTAGTCGCTAACTATCATGCACACATTCCAAAATAAATAGAAACTAGTGCATATTGTCATGACGAATCATATTATGCAAAGGCAATTTACATGCGCTCATATATAATAAGCACAATGGCACATTCAAGTATGCGGCAATCAATGCACAATCACAACAAAGTTAAAGAGTTACTACCGTGGCTTCTTCGATCCATGAAATAGTTTACCTCAAAATTTCAAGTCAAAAATCTACTCCTAATTATTTTTCTTGAATTCTTCAAGAAAATAGCCCTTAATTTTCAAAATTAATCCTTAACATATTATAAGGAATTTAATATCTCAATTAGCTTCTTTATTCCATAAAATAATTATTCTAAAAATTGCAACTCAAAGATAATCCTCTAACTATTTTTTCTCAAATTTTCAAGAAAATAAGTCTTCTTAATTCCCCAAATTAGCTTGATAATTATTTAGACTATATTTTAAGGATTTTAATCTCAATAATTTCTTTAAAATTTTATCTCCATCATGCTTTAATTAAATCCATTAATTTTGGGATGTTATAAGAATTTAGGTGACTAGCCACCGAAGGTCAGAAGTTCGACCATCGGCCACCGGCCCTCAGATGGTCGACACTGGAGGTCAGAGCTCCGGCCATCAAAACTCTAGTGACAATTAATATTCTTTTAAAATAATATAAAAAGGAGGGGTATTATTGTATTTTCACTGTTAAATTTTAATTCCATTTTGGTTCAAAAGAGTGGATTGAAATTTTGAAATCTTTTAGGGTTTGACTAATATTAAGTTGCTACATGGGGGTTTATTGAAATTCTTTCTCTCTCTGTTTTTTTTTTTAAAAGTGCTTTTAAGTTATTCCAAACACCTCCAAACATCCCTGTTGTCTTCACATGAAGCCCTAGAACAATTCTATATAGATATAGTTATTTTTATTTTAAATAATGTTTGTTAATTTACACAATTTAAAATATAAAAATATCATATTAAAAGAGTAAAATGTAAGCATGTTTTATCAATGTTTAGTTGTACAGTCATAAGTTAAATTTGCTGAGTTAACATTTCCTGTTAAATGAAATTGAGAGTGTTAACATTAAGTTACTGAAAATGCATTTTATAAAATTAAGAAGCTAAGTTGAAACTTGATGAAAATTTAGATGACTAAATATATACATTAGCCTAAAAAAAGATTAAGGGTCAAAAATACCCGTAAAAATATATCAAAAGTTCATCTAACACTATGATTTTTGTTTGTGTTCAAATATACCAAGCAAAATTTAAAAATAGGTAAAAAAAAATGCTAGCACCGTTAACATCCGTTTTTTAGTGGTGGGACCCACGGTTTTTTATATGAAAGCATCAAAATACAACTAATTCAAAAAAGTTAAGGGTAAAAAATACCCATGTACTTATACCAAAACTTTACCAAACACTATGTATTTTTTAATAAAGTATTAAAATACTCCAATCTTAAAAGGCTATTGCATTAGAGTATATTAAAAATTATTAATTATAATAAATTTTTATATCGCAATCTTTACAATTAAAAAAGATTATTAATATTCATTAATAAATTTTTTTCTTGATCAACAAATTTGTCTTTTTTTTTTTTATAGTTATCATATTGATTGTTGTGGCTCAAAATATTTTAATAACAGAAATATTATACATAATAACTAAATATTTTTTTGTAACTTATCATGTTTTATATTTTAACATCATGACTACTTATGTTAGTGTTTTAATTCTAAAAAATTGTTAAATAAAGTTAACAAAATAAACATTTACATTTTAATCCCTTCATTAACATTCAATTGATATTTTCCTATTTTTAATTCAAGAAAAAATTATATAAAGATGCTTTAAAATTTGATTGATATAAAAAGAATACAAATCCATCTTGGAAGAAAGAGGGTTTTTTTTTTTCGGTTGGAAAAGCAAATGAGCCAAGAACACCATTAACAAATTGAAGAGAGATGGTGATTTCTTTTTCTTTTTTTTTTTACTGACAATATTTTGATACTTTTATTAAAAATAATAAATTCTCCTATTAAAGGTGGCTTTAAATTCTCTCAAACAATGGAATATAAGCATAAAAAAAAAATTCAAACTAACTGTTAAATTTGATAATATAGACTGAAAGATAAACACAACTTCATATATCATTAATGCAAATAACTTATTTTCCAAAGATACTTATAATGTCTATTAAAAGAAAAAATTAGGGGTGTAAATAACTTAAGCAACGCACTCTTCTATACACCTAGATATGAGCAAATTTATTAATTATGGCTGCCAAAAAAAGAGGAATTTCCAAAAAAATTTATCAAACATTGAAGCATGACTTATCATTTTATTTTTTTCAAGATTTATGCTATAAAAATAAGACCTAGATTCATTCTTGGAAATATCACAAAAAAAAAAGACCACTAAAATTGAAATATTACACATAAAAACCCATTCACAAAAATTGTTATTAAAACCCATACTATTATTATCAAAAACCATATTAATACTGTAACGCATCCCTATTCACAATTTTTTTTATTTCGACAATCTTTTTTTTTTTGTGACTTTCACTTCATTCTTTATGTACCTAATGGCAACTTCTATTTATCAGAGCTGTAAAGATGTTATTTCTAAAAGATGTACTTTTCCATTCCAGCTCTAATAAATCATGCTTTGTAAATTCTAATTCTTTCATGCCACAGATATATTATCAATATATACATTAATACATACATACTAACTCCCCAGCTATGCTAAACTACCCCTATTCACTCCTCTTTATGAAGGTAGCCCTATAAGTGAAATTTAGGTAACTTCTCAAAAGGAAAGTATAAACATCACATATCACAAAAGAAAAGAGGAAACATAACAGAATGTATTCAAGATTAATCAATTAACTAGGCACTAAGTTCTTCTCTCCTTCAACCTTAGCTATGCTTCCACCAACTCCTCTTTCCTCTTGGATGAATTGGGCCCTATGCTTAAATAGAAAGAAGGGGTGAGATTCAAAAAATCCCAGTAATAGTAATCATATTTCATATATTATACGTGGTATAAAACTAAGCATGCAAAACAAGCCATAAAGAACAACATCTTACAAAATAACTGAACTGAACTGAATGACTAACTGAGGCATATTCGCTGTCATTTAAGTGAATCTCATATAACTATTACGTATAACTGAATAACTGAACAGCAACATAACTAATTAACTGAACTGTATAACTGAGCAATTGCTAACACATTATCTAAACTGCGAAATTGAATGACTGAGTAACTGTACAGTTACTAACTGATTAATTGCATAATTGTGCAGCCGCTAACTGATTAACTGCATAACTGTGCAGCTGCTACTTAATTAACTGTTAAATACGCATATATTGGACAGCGAAATGCATGCACATGGCCATGGCAATAAGTGATAAGGCAACTTACATGTTCTCATGCTTAACTATAGAATTATGACACAAACAGATATGCAACCAAAACAAAACAAACAAAATAATGATTAAAGCTACCTTTCCTCCTGCTCTCCTGTCCGGGTACCTTGGTTTGAGTTTCTTCTTAGTAAACCGAGCCACAAATTAAAACCTAACAGTGCATGTGTGTGTGTGTGTAAGTTAAGTCAAAAGTGGGGTTATGGTTAACCCATATATAACTAATCTCTCAATAACCCCCCTCTCGGGCCAACCCTCTTTAAGGGGATAAGTCATCTTGGCTAAAATTTTATCTTTACATGTCTAAGGGTCTCCAAAGTCTCTTCTTTACTTTTGTTGCTCTTAACTTCTTAATCCACTATAATTTAGTTTAGGGAAAAAGATTTAACTTAGTTACTAAATCTTCATGTTTCCAGGATTATGATTAGCAAGAAAAACAAACGTACATCATCATTCAATGTCTTCAATTATAAATAGCTATACAGGACATTAACTTGACATTAAAAGATATTTAAAAGGAATTTCGAATCAGTTCCTCAGGTCTAGTTCACTCTTGTACATTTCACAAACATGGATGGTTTCATCAAGTATTTCAGCTTCCTTTATTATCTGTTTGAAACATTCAATCTCACTCACATAGCTGAGAATAACAGTTTAAAATCTAAACATATAATTCAGCGACATTCACAATAACTTTCAACTTTTAAAAACATTACCCAAATCATTAGCAATGCACAAAACCTCTATAACATTTCAAACAGCACCACTTAATCAAGGCCAAACTTTCCAGCGACTATACCAGAGCATTTGTTTAACACTATATCAGCAACTTTATATTTGTAAATACCAAACAGCAACTTCTATTAGATCTTCAGCTTCAAGCCTTTTATTCTATCCATTATATTAAGCCTTTAATAATTCACACATTGTCATTCTTAATGAAACGGGGGCTATTTTATGTCCTTAGTCTTTAAATTACAGAACATGAGATTGTAATAGTAAAATAATCAATTCTCACACAGCAACCATGACTATCTTAATAGAATTGAGAATTCCAAACTTTCGGTTGTCATTCTAACCATTATAAACAGTGGGTAGCATTTAACATTAGTAATAGCTACAACAAGTTTATACCAATTTCCAATAGAATTGAGATTGTAATAGTAAAATAATCAATTCTCACACAGCAACCATGACTATCTTAATAGAATTGAGAATTCCAAACTTTCGGTTGTCATTCTAACCATTATAAACAGTGGGTAGCATTTAACATTAGTAATAGCTACAACAAGTTTATACCAATTTCCAACATTCAAATTTAATAAGCGTGTCTCGGCACATCCATTGTATTACATTCATACAACTCTATAATCATTCCATTCAAGTACATCGCACATTTCTCATTCATGAAGTATTTTCCAGATTATTCTGGAAATTTTCCAGATTTAATATCATCCCTCAAATTGTCAATTGCTCATATTTTTTTGTTTTAGGTTCTTTCACGGGCAGCTCCCATTTTAATACCTTCGAACACATAAAGCTGTCATTGTCCTATACCAGCAACATATTTAACAATCTAATTACTCAGCTAATTTTAGGCATTATATAGAAATTTAATACCGCTTTTCTTGCTTCAATTACAAACTCAAAAACATTAAAATGAAATGGTTCAAATGTGTACACATATAATAATCCAGTTTGAAACATGAATCAGCAAAATTCTCATCACTAGCATTCTCAACATATTTCAATCCAAAACAGCAATCAACAAGTTTAAATCAATTTTCAGCGTCCATCTCATCCAGCAACAATAATATAACACGCAATATATATATATATATATATATATATATATAGCTTAGCTGTTCAAGCTTCAATAATTCAGCTTGGCCTCATGACAGCATCCATCTTAAATCTGAATTATCATCCTCATTTACTAGCTATCATCACTTTTACTTAGCTTGATTATCAGCCAACAGTCTCACGGGTTCCATTAAGAAATCTAGCAGCATTTTAATAGTCTAAACTCTAAACTACTGTTACAGTATCAATGATGGCAGCATTTGAAGGTTATATAAAAATATTCCAGCTTCACATATTCAGATGACACACTCATACACATATTCTTAGCAACTAAAGAAATTTCTTCTTTTTCTTTTCTTTTAGTTAGCTTGACCAAAGTTCGAAGTAAAAGAATAACCCAATAGCACGGACACACATCTATCTCCATGCGTATATTTATCCATAGTATTCAAGTGTTTGATGTCATTAATCAAATGCCCAAACAATTTCCCTTTCCATCTTATTCTGGAACCCGTTGCTACACCCACCAAAACAAAAGAGAAGGAGTACGGAAATCACTTTCAACATGACCAATCGCATAACATTCATATATATGTGTGTGTCTCTGTGTGTGTGTGTGTGTGAATCAACTATTCAAGATTTATTTCCGACGAATAGCCCAAATTTCAAATAGTAACTACTCTTAGTTTAATCAAATATCCTATCTATTATCTTGCTTCAGTTTCAAACGTCTCTCCCCCCTAAATCAGACCCAAACGAAGAAGCAGAGGGTAGAGTGAAATCTAGAAGTTCACTTGGGTCCAGGGATCTCACTCACTCACCAAGTCTTCCTCCCTCACCCACTTGGGTTTCACCCTCTTCGATCCCTCAAATGCCATGATCCCAGAAAATGAAAATGGGGAAGAATCAAGGCATTTACCTTGGTTCAAAGATCAGATTGCATGTGGAAAATCCTCCCTCCTTCCTCTTCTTCTTTCCCTTCGACTTGCTCCTCGGGTTCCCTCGGTTTTCTTCCCTCTCTCTCTATACATTCATCTTTGCTGTATTTATAATTCCTCCTAGGCTTCTTTGAGAAGCACCGTGTCAGCGAAGGAGATGAGGATCTTGTCACTCAAGAACAAAACGTGGCGTATGGAGGAAGATGAGAAGCAGGGACGAAGAGGTGGCTGAAGATGGGAGAGGGACAGGAAACGTGCCCCACAAAAAGGAGTTTGAAGCTGAAGCAGAGGGCATGTGGAGATGAGGATATGCGTAAAAGTCTACTTTGCCCTCCTCTTATAATTTTAAAGGAAAATTTCACTTAAGAACTGCATAAGAGAATTTATATCAGCCAACCTCAAAACATTATAAAATATTACTATAGGATCAAGGAACCAAACTGAAATTAAAACTAAGAGTAAAATTACAATAATACTCCTCACTTTTATTTTTTTTAAAAATAAATATTAATGAACGCAAATGTTCCGGCCACTAGCACTTAGGTGGCTGCTGCCAAAGGTTGGACCTCTAGTGGCAGTTATTGTAGCTCCGATGGCTAGAATTTTTTTTTTTTTTAACAAGGTGGCCAAGTAAAGGTTTGAACCCATGACCCCTTAGCACACCAAAAATGATGTAATTACCAAGCCAAGCAAGCTATTCAATCATGTGATTCAAATAAAAATATATATAACAAAACAAATGCAACTATTCAAATATAAGTGAACAAATGAAATTAGATGATTTACAAATAAAATTCAGCAATTTACAACAAAAATTAGGCAATTTATAAATAACATAATAAAATTCGCAACCCCAAATGCAAGTGTTTAAATGCAAATGAGTAAGTGAAATTTGAAAATTTATAACATAATTTTATGGATTTACAACCCAAATTTGGCTATTCACGAGAAAAACAAGAGAATTCACAACCCAAAATGTAAGTGTTTGAGTGTAAGTGAACAAATGAAATTCGACAATTTGTAAGTGAAATTTAGCAATTGACAACAAAAATTTGGTAATTTACAAATAACATAATAGAATTCACAATCCCAAATGCAAGTGTTTAAGTATAAATGAGCAAGTGAAATTTGAAGATTTACAATAAAAGTTTATGAATTTACAAGTGAAATTCGACAATTACACTTGCTCATTTACACTTAAACACTTGCATTTGGGATTATGAATTCCATTATATTATTTGTAAATTACCTAATTTTTGTTGCAAATTGCTAAATTTCACTTCTAAATCGTCGAATTTCACTTGTAAATTATCGAATTTCACTTGTTTACTTACATTCAAACACTTATATTTTGAGTTGTGAATTTTCTTATGTTTCTTATGAATAACTAAATTTTGGTTGTAAATTCATAAACTTTTATTGTAAGTTTTTAAATTTCACTTGCTCATTTGCACTTAAATACTTGCATTTAGAGTTGTAAATTTTATCATGTTATTTGTAAATTACCTAATTTTTGTTGTAAATTGCTGAATTTTACTTGTAAATCGTTTAATTTTACTTGTTCATTTATACTTAAACAGTTGCGTTTGTTTTGTTATATATTTTTATTTGCATCACATGATTGAATAACTTGTTTGGCTTGGTAGTTACATCACTTTTGGTGTGCCAAGGGGTCATAGGTTCAAATCTTCCTTTGGCTACCTTGTTTTAAAAAAAAAAATTCTGCCCACCAGAATTACAATAACGGCCACTAAAGGTCCAACCTCCGACGGCGGCCACTTGAGCGCTGTTGACTGGACCTCTGACCTCCAGTGGTCAGAATAGTTGCGTTCATTAATATTTAGTTTTTAAAAAAATAAAAGTGAGGGATATTATTGTAATCTTACTCTTAGTTTTAATTTCAGTTTGGTCCCTTGGTCCTGCAGTGATATTTCAGAATGTTTTGGGAGTTGATTGATATAAATTCTCTTCTGCAATCCTTAAATGAAATTTTTCCTAATTTTAATTACTCTACTCTCTTCTGAAATTTACTCTAATCTCAAATGGGCTTTTTCTTACATATATACTATGTACAATAAGTTATTTTACTCAGATACTATAACATGAAAAATATTTACTGAGATACTACATTTCAAAATTGTTCAAGCAAAGATCACCTTTAAATTTATAAAAAAACTCGTTCTTACCCATATTAAAAATTGTAGAAATCGTTTTCACAAAAAAACAAGTTAAGTGAGTCCCGCTTTAAAAAAAGGAAAAATTACACATAGATCCCACAGAAGACAATTAATTCAGAAAACTGAAAATCCCCAAATGTTTCCTAAGTCCCCAGGGACCTCTGGATAATTAATTTAAACTGTGATATTACCTACTTACCTCTGTTAATTTGAGTGTGAATAATTTGCCCGGCTTAAACCCTCGGGACCACCTTCATCACCGTTTACAGCTTTCCATTACAGCACAGGCGGCTTCACATCCATCGGCGGAAAACTTTATTCATACTGTTTGCAAGCTTCGTAGCCCATCATCGACGACCTTCGCACCCCATTGCCAGCGAGCCTCATGGGTTCCATCATCGACGACCTTCACGCCCCACCGCCGGCAAGCCTCTCTCTCTTGGTATATCATATTGATATTATCTATTACTGGCATATTTAGGTGAGGCGCTTCTTAGTTTCAAAGCAACAGTTGGCTATTGTGTAAGTTGTATTATTTAAATTTCGAGGTAATATTGGCTATTGTCAATTGTTGTACATAAGTTGTTATTACAGTGATCGAAGGTTGTCATTAACGATCCCATGACTGTCCTGTTATATAGGATGGAAGACTTGTGTAAGTTGTATTATTTAAATTTCAAAGTAATGTTGGTTATTGTCAATTGTTGTGCATAAGTTGTTATTACAGTGATCGAAGGTTGTCATTAACGACCCCATAACTTGTCCTGTTATGTAGGATAGAAGACTTGTGTAAGTTGTATTATTTAAATTTCAAAGTAATGTTGGCTATTGTCAATTGTTGTCCATAAGTTGCAATTACCTAAGTGGAGCAATTCCAAATGAATTAGGAAACCTATCACAGCTCAGAAGTTCGTGAGTGCAGTATTTTAATGTAGTTTCTGGTTCATTTCATCCAATTTATGTTGTTATAAGGATGGACAAATCGCATTCATTCATCATATTCCTATATTTTCTAGGGATATATCAAATAACTTCCTCAGTGGGAATATACTATTTTGTATATGTTGTAATTGGTTGCTCTGTATGTTGTCATTTACTATCCTGTATGTTGTCATTTACTACTCTATGTTGTCATTTGCTAGTATGTACGCTGTCAACTGCTTATGTGTATGTTGTGATTGGTTGGTGTGAAGGTTGTTATTGTCTTGTGTGCAGGTTGTCATTAGCCTCTGTTAGTTTGTCACTTGCTTATTTATAGGTTGTAATTGCCTGCTGTTCTTGTTGCCATTCGATTTAGCATGGATTGTCATTGGCTGCTGTGTATGTTGTGAATGGCATAAATGTAGGTTGTGATTGGCTGATATGTAGGTTGTGACTGTATACTGTGTAGTTGGATGCTTGTACTCCCCTCAAGAAATCCATGACTTGAAGGTTGGATGCTTATGGTGGCTTGTAACTTATCAGAACAACCTGCATGGTGATCAAGTGCTGTCTTTGCTACGAGGAAACTCCCAAGGCAAGAGAAAGAAATAAACGATGAGCATAGATTGTATTTAGTTTTTTTAATTTGACAGCTGAATGTAAAGTTCAAATTTTGTTTCTTTATTTGACCATGTAATGATAGCTGGATGTTAAGATATGTTAATGTGTATTGACATCCTTTACTGGTTATGAAGTTTTTGTAATGGCATTCATGTGTTTTGACAAAACAAGAAATTCTTCGTTCCACACATGGATCATGTCCACAAATGCAGACTAATAAAAATGGATAAAGAAATGGTAACCATGATGACATGATAGACATAGATCACAATCCTCTCTACCACATCCATTTACAACCTCAACGGGGGTTGTTGACAACCTGAAGACAAGTGGTTAACAACCTGGACAGTGCCCCTGACAAATCACTCTGTGGGATACCACAGCTTCTAAATAGATTATATCATCAGCACATATAACGACATTAACAAAAAAAAATTGAGAGCATTTTGAAGTTATTAACAGCTTTAATTGAACCCAATAGGATTACAGCAGATTTTTACTGCAGCAATTCATTTACAACTTCAACGGCAGGTGTTGACAACCCGAAGAGAAGTGGCTAACAACCTTCACAATGGGTCTAACAAATTTGTATGAAAACTTATCAGCAATGTTGTGCCTATATAGTGCTTGTCTAAGGGCCACTGCATTAGGAAAAATGTGTCCTTCTCCAATAACCAAACCCTTTCACTTTGTTGAATTCATTTCCGGAATTGGGGTTAGCATCATTTTTGAACCACATAACAATGATAGTGGCTCTTCACTAAACACATTGTGTGGAGACATGGACAATGCATCTAAACGTCCAAACAAGTCTTTCATCCTACATAACAGGACAGGTCATGGGGTCGTTAATGACAACCTTCGATCACTGTAATAACAACTTATGCACAACAATTAACAATAGCCAACATTGCTTCGAAATTTAAATAATACAACTTACACAAGTCTTCCATTCTACATAACAGGACAGGTCATGGGATCGTTAATGACAACCTTCGATCATTGGAATAACAACTTATACACAACAATTGACAATAGCCAACATTACTTCAAAATTTAAATAATACAACTTATACAATAGCCAACTATTGCTCTGAAACTGAGAAGCACCTCACCTAAATATGCCAGTAATAGATAATATCAATATGATATCCCAAGAGAGAGAGGCTCACTAGCGGTGGGGTGCGAAGGTCATCGATGATGGAACCCACGAGGCTCGCTGGTAGTGGGGTGCGAAGGTTGTCGATGATGGGGTATGAAGCTCGCCAACAGTGTGAGTAAAGCTCGCCGATGATGGATGTGAAGCCGCCTGTGCTGTAATGGAAAGCTGGAAACGCGAAG